CAAAAGACACTCCAATTGCTCGGGAAATTCCAAGGGATTAGGAGCTCTGTGTCAGGCACCAGGGATGAGGACCAAGATATATATTTCTTATTATAAGTCACAATGTCATAGAGTAGGGCAGTGGTTCTCAACTTCGACTGCACAATGGAATCATCTGGGGAGCTTTGCAAAATGCTGATCCCCTGGCCCCCAGGCCCTACCCCTAGAGATGCTGGTATAATCGGTCTGGAATGTGGCAACATAATTTTAATTTGTAGAAGAGTCGAGAGATTCCGAGCCACAGGAAGAGAATAATCACTACCATACATTGGTGCTTCCACATGCCAGGCACTTTCCACATATTGTCACAAATCCTACCTGCAGTCCCTCAAGGTAGGTATCATCGTATTTACAGATGGAGAACCCAGGCTCAGAAATGTAAGCGGAGATTACCTACAGAGCAGAGCTAGGAAATGCTAAAGCCGCACAATGATAGACTCAGCCTTCCCTCTCTGCAGCCAGCTACTTTTACAACCTCACAGCTGCTTCCACTCGCACGGGTCACCCTCTTGCCCCCTTCTTCAAAATCAGTTGTTCTGATCACCAGATGTAGAGGTGGAATGTTGCACGTTCCATGTTCCATTCGTGAAAAATAAATAAATACATCTGGTTTTCTTTAAGCTCCAACTCTCTCATACATTTCCAACAAAAGGGATTCCTGTGGGTAGCTTTGAAAATGCAGGGCTCTCCTACTTCGAAGCTGTTACTGAAAGGCACTCCAGAGACAGGAATGCCGCTCTGGCAGCTGCAAGAGGAAAGCCGCCCGGAGGGCTCATCCAAGGAGCTGCTGCACCCGCAGAGGAGACAGCAGCACCCACCCTGTCTTGTGTCCTATCCTTGTGGTTGTATGTGCAAAAGTTCTTCCAAGATGCCTGGACTTCAGAGATTATAGTTTTATCCTGTGGGGTGTAACCCTGATCCCTCAAGATGATACCTTTCTAATTGATTGTCCAGAGTTAATAAAGCTCTAATAAAATTGGCATCTCTGTTTCTGAGAGTATCCAAATATCTTGGGATAATTTCTGTACTTATTCTCTCTTTACAAATAATGTAAAGGGATACACACAACGAATGACCCTGGCAGAACAGATGAAGATGGCTCCCCTCGGGCACTTCTAGATTGTTGGCTGATTTGTACTGTGTTTCTGCATTACCCCTAACTTACATGCCAGGTGACCTCAGGCGAGTCGCTAACCTCTTTGAGTGTCAGTTTCACAAGGAAATCCCAGGGCTGCTGGGAGGACAGAATGAGGCGATTCACATAAACCACTGGGCCAATACCCGGCCAGGTGTCTGCATTCAGGCGTCCGGCTCTGGCAAGGCTGGTCTTCCATTTGTTTATTTTGTTGATTCATTCGGCAAACACCAGATGGAGACAGAGGCTGGTCAGCACCATGGCTTCTGGCTAAATGTTCTCTTCCTTCCCCCTTCACTCCCCAGAGAAGAGAAAAGAGCTCCAAATAGGGCCAAATGGGATCGATCGGCCATTACACAGCGGGAGAAGGATCCACAGAATTTCAGAGTGGGGAGAGATGACCTGTTGTTAAGCTGGGAAAGATTGTCTCAGAGAATGGGCTGGATTTGACAGAGGGGAGGAAAGCTCGCCAGGCAGAGAATGGGGGAGCAGAGGCCAGGCAGCAGAGGCACAGGGGCACATGGAGCTGGTGGTGCCTGGTCGTAGGCGTGGGGAAAGAAGGCCAAATCGTACAGCAGGGCCAGATAGCAGGCTGTGGATGAGAGGAGGAATCAGGGTTCTGCTCACTGGCCAAGCGGAAGTCACTAAAAAATTTTGATCAGAAGTCACCTGCATCCTTCAAGAACCCTAAAAGATGCAAGTTGGAAGGCTGTTGTAAGGGCCTGGGCAAGAAGAGCCAAGCAGGGCAAGCTGTAATAGGAGGGCTTCCCTCCGAGGAACATAGGAGAAGTCCACACCACTGGATTCCTCACCCAGAGACACGCAGACCGGCTCTGCCACCCCACACTGGCCCCAGGTGGACCACTCTGCCTGTTAAACAGCAGATGTGGACACGAGTGAAGGCAGCGGATGCCTCCAAACAGGCTGCTGCCGCTGGGGGAGGAGATGGTGGGCACAGAAAGGAAAGAGGGTCGGGTGATGCCTCAGGGGTACGTCCGGAGGACACATGGCCACTGTGGATTTAGGGGTATGAGGGAGAGTGAGCAGTCAAAGGTGACGCTGAGGTTTCCAGTCTGAGTAGGCGGATGGTGAGGCAGGAACAGAAACGGAGATGTCAGAAGGAAAAAGGGGTGGCAGGGGAGGACTTTGAGCTTGACATGCCAGGGTGGAGATGGACAGTCAGGGGTTTTCAAAATGGAACTGGGACCAGCGCGGCGGCTCACACCTGTGATCCTAGCACTCTGGGAGGCTGGGGCGGGAGGATCACTTGAGGTCAGGAGTTCGAGACCAGCCTCAGCAAGAATGAGACTCCCATCTCTACTAAAAATAGAAAAATTAGGCAGGGCGCGGTGGCTCACACCTGTAATCCTAGCAGGTGGGAGGATCACTCAAGGTCAGGAGTTCAAGACCCAGCCTGAGCAAGAGCGAGACCCCATTTCTACTAAAATAGAAAGACATTATCTGGACAACTAAAAATATACATAGAAAAAATTATTCGGGCATGGTGGCTCATGCCCGTAGTCCCAGCTACTCAGGAGGCTGAGGCAGAAGGATTGCTTGAGCCCAGGAGTTTGAGGTTGCTGTGAGCTAGACTGATGCCATGGCACTCTAGCCCAGGCAACAGAGCCAGACTCTGTCCCCCTAAAAAAAGAGAAAAATTAGCAGGGTGTGGTGACACACACCAGTAACCCCAGCTACTCGAGAGGCTGAGGCAGGAGGATTGCTTGAGCCCAGGAGTTTGAGGTTGCGGTGAGCTACAATGACGCCACTGCACTCTAGCCAGGGTGACAGAGCGAGACTCTGTCTCAAAAAAAAAAACAACAAAAAACGGAACTGGAACCTGGGGAGGTGCCGGAGATACAGACATGAGAAACCAATAACATCACCAGCAAAACTGTCACCATATGGGTTCTGTGTGCCAGGCCCTTGAGATAATAATGCATATTATCTCACCGAATCCTCACCACTGTTCACATTTTATCAGTGAGGAAACAGGCACAGGGAAGCTAAGCATCGTGTCCGAAGCCACACAGCTAGCAGGTGGCAGGGAGGGAACGGATTCTGAGGTCATTTCTGAACTACCCGATGGGCCGGGCGCGGTGGCTCACACCTATAATCCCAGCACTTTGGGAGGCTGAGGCAGGAGCATCCCTTGAGCCCAGGAATTTTAGACCAGACTGGGTGATAGAGGGAGACTTAGTCTCTACAAAAACAAACAAAAACTACCGGGTGGGGAAGCCACAGAACTGGGTGTGTCATTGGTGAACGTCCTCGACATTTTGAGGTTTTCGTTTACTCTTCTAAGAATCTGGATCTGGGCCGGGCGCGGTGGCTCACGCCTGTAATCCTAGCACTCTGGGAGGCGGAGGCGGGCGGCTTGTTTGAGTTCGAAACCAGCCTGAGCAAGAGCGAGACCCCGTCTCTACTAAAAATAGAAAGAAATTAATTGGAAAACTAAAAATATATAGAAAAAACTAGCCGGGCATGGTGGTGCATGCCTGTAGTCCCAGCTACTTGGGAGGCTGAGGCAGAAGGATTGCTTGAGCCCAGGAGTTTGAGGTTGCTGTGAGCTAGGATGACGCCACGGCACTCTAGCCCGGGCAACACAGTGAGACTTTGTCTCAAAAAAAAAAAAAAAAAAAGAGAATCTGGATCTGATGAAAATTACAGGTCTCCTTCCCAGAAAAGTGTATAACTATGTTCCCACAGAGACACACAATTTCACATACAAATTTGGGGTTCATGAACTCCCCCAAAGCCCATCCACGATCCCTCTTGTAAAGAAACCCAGTCCTAAAGGAATCAGATCAAGATACTTTAACATCTGCTAAGGAATCTAATTCTCACTACAGCTCTGTGAGAACAGCACCATCATCTCCATCCTCCAGATGTGGACGCCGAGGCCCCTACAGGTTAAGTAACTTGCCGAGGTTCCCACAGCTGGCGAATAGTGGCCGGGATTCAAGTCCCAGGTGGGGTTATTTCAAAAAAGAAAGACACAACTGGGATTGAAAGGTACCCTGTGTGCCTCCCTGCAGGGGACCCCCAAGAGCTGGCTCCACAGCCAACAAGGGGTTGGGTGTGTGGGGCCAGCAGGCACTCCAAACAGAGGGAGGGGGTCAGAGGCAGGGGAGAGTCCCCAGGGAGAAACCCAAGGAGGGAAGGCGACAAGGCAGGGAGCTTAAGGAAGGGCTTCCTGTGCCCCAAGCACAGGCACCCCATGCCTCCTGTCGTCAGTCCTCCCCAAAACCTTGTGAGCAGGGAACTATTATTGTCATTTTACCAATGCAAGGAAATGAGGCTCTGAGAAGTCAGGGGCCTGCCCAAGGTCACATGGCCTGTCCCTGGTGGAGCCTTTTGACTCCAGAGCCCGCCTCCTCTGGCTCTGCACGCAGCCTCCAGGGACTCCCAGGACTCAGGCCCCTCCCCCACCCAGCCACAGATGGCCTGGGACTTTGCCTCTGTCCCTTCTGAGTGGCCAGTGAGGACCGAAGTCCAGGGCTGCCCCCCGCTGTCCAGCCTCCCCCCTCTCCCACCCCTACCTTCAGGGGACTCCGCCTCCCCTAGGCTGCTCCTGCCCTGTCCGGGCCTCAAGCCCCTTTCTTCCCCAGAGCTCGCTGGGGACCCAACATAAAAGGAGAAAGAAGATGAGAAGAGGCCTGTGGGGGTTCAGGGAGATTGGCGGCTCACAGGGTGGTGAGAGAGTGGACAGGGAGACCAGAGGGGGGATAATCTCCCCAAGGGCTGAGGCAGGTCGGAATGGGGAGAGAGCCAAGGCAATGGGGGAGATGGGGGTGCAGGGACACTGGGGAGAGTGCCCCTTTACCTTCAGCGTCCATGGCAACTTGGAGTTGTCAGGGCTTGTGTGTCCACTGCTCAGGTCCAGCGCTCTGAGAAGCCAGGCCGCGGGCGGGGGTGGGGCTGCGGGGGAAGGGGAGGGGCCGGGCAGCAGCCAGACCAGTCCTGCCCCCTTTTCCGGCCTCCCTCCTTCCTCTTCCAGCACCCTCGGGCTGTGCACACCTCAGTGTGCTCTCTGCTGGGAAGCCCCCGAAGTCCTGTCTTCCCTGGCGCTGGGAAGCCCCGAAGTCCTGTATTCTCTGGCACCAGCCAGGGAAGGGAGCTGGAGGCCCTGCTCTCTCCCCACCCCTAGCCCTCCTGGCCCTGCCCAGGGTGTGAGGCTGGGGATGGAAGAATGTGCTCCCTTGTGAGGGCTGGAACGCCTTTTGTGTGGTGTACTGGGACAGTCACAGGCCTTGGAGCTGGGTTCAAATCCTAATTCCATGCTTTTTGATCTCAAATACCTTTTTACCTTTCTCTGTGCCTCAATTTCCTTAGCTACAAAATGGAATAACACCTACCTCATGGGCTCAACTGAGAATCAGCTGAGAAAACTCTGCAAGTGACACAGAGTCAACTAATTAATACCCACTTCCTTTCCCTTCCCCTTCCCGAGGAACATTAAGGGCACAGGTAACTCAGAGCTCGGTTTCAGAACAGGAAATCTAGGAAACTGCCAATAACCAGTACGGGGACTTCAGGCAAGTTCCTGTCCAAGAACCTCAAGGGCCTTCATTTCTTCATCGGAAATCTCTTGCTAAAGTCGCTCACAGGGACCACTGTCCGGTACGATGAGCCAGGCGCCCAGGGCGCAGAAGTCAAGAAGGCGTCACCCTAGGCTCACTCTCACCCTCGCACCTTGCTTCCCTCATTCCAGTCCTCTGCCTGCTTCTGCCAGCCCTTCTCCAAATTTTCTTCTCCCTTTTTTCCCCAAATGTCATTTTTCTCCTGGTCCATCTTTTGAGGCTCTTTTCTGCAGGCCCTTCTTCCTACATCCGGCCCCCACATTTGGTGTTCCCGCAGTGTGGTGGGAACTGTGTCTCTTTTCCTCCTGGGAACCTTGCTGAACTACATTTCCCAGCCTCCTTTGCACCAAGGGAGCCACGTGACTGAATTCTGCCCTATGGTGTGTGGACAAAAGTGAGGCCTGCGGCTTCCAGACCTGCCCATGAAAGCCTTCACCTGAGCCCACTCTCTCCCCCGCCCATCAGCTGGTTGAAAGCAGAACATTCTAAGGCCTGGAAGAATGAGAGAGCCAAAAAATGGAAGAAGACTAGGTCCTTGGATGACCTTGTAGAAGCAATAAGCTGTTACATAAGCAAGTAAAAAACTTCTCTTGAGTTACACCACTGAGATTTTGGAGTTGGTTCTTACAGCAGTTAGCCTGCCCTGACCATTACACTAAGATTCTCCCTGCAGTTCCCCTCTCAGTCTACATAGTGGACGATATAACTGATGCAGTTATCCATCCATACTATTACTTAAATTGCTGTCTATAGCCAGATGACTCTTAAATCTCTATCTCCAGCCCTGAGTTCCCTCCCAAGCTCCAGACCTCTATTTCTAACTATCTCCAAAACATCGCTCCTAATAGTTCTAAAAAGGAACTTACTGTTTTCCCAAAAATTGCTCATCCCCCTGCATTTCCAGGCAAGGATGTCAGCATCTCGAAAGTGTAGCGTCATTCTTCTCTTCATCACCTCAATAGCCAATTAGTCCTAAAATCTTTTTCTCTGAATAAATCTATTTCAAACCTGACCTCTTCTTCCACCCTGGCCAGACTCCCGCCATATCTCACTTGGACTAGAAAAATGCTTTCATCTTGGGCTGCGCTTTCTCAGGCATCTCCTGGATGCCAGGGCTAACTCAAAAGACAGAACTGATCCTGCCGTACGTTTATTTTACAACCATCATTTGTTCGTTTGTTAATTCATTTATCTTTCCACTCAGTAAACACACGCTAAGTAGCTGCTGCCTGCTGGGCCCTGGACTCTGGAGTTAAAAATGGACCAAGTGGCCTTGGAGGGGCTCACATTCTAATAGTGAGGGACACTCTCACGTCATTACAGCCGATTACTCATGCTGTCACACGAGGTGCTATGGGAGTCACACTAGGTCTGCTTGGGGTGGGGACAGCAAGGGCAACTTCACAAAGCCAGTGACGTGTGAGCTGAATCTTGACGGTTGAGGAGGAGTTGGCGGGAAGTGAAGATGTGCATGTCGTGGGGCTAGCTGGGGGAGGCTGGCTTCAAGCCGAGCGTGTGCAAACGCAGAGACGAGTATGGGGCTCCCTCCATGGCCAGCACAGAGTCGGCTCTGCTTAAACTGGGATCTCAGCAAGGTTCAGCCAGGCTCTTCTGATGCCACAAGCTGGGCGGGCAGGCTCTGAGCACCACAGGGGGCTGGTGACACAGGCACCTACCTGCAGCTCATTGTTGAGATCAAGTAGATTGTCTCCAAAATGCCCTGGGTTTCCATTGTCTAATGGCCCTATGCTAAACTGGTCCTACCCCAAACTGGCCCTACCCAGGGACCGAGCAGTCACCACTGTGTAGGCTCTTCCACCTAAACACCCTCTTAGGGTTAGAAAGTTTTCTCTCTACTTTTGTTCAGGTCTGACATTGCTTCCACTTTGGGAATTTAGAACTTTTTGATTGTATTTCTCTCTTGTTTTGTGAACAGTGATCTGCCTCCTGGCACAAAGTCGGAACTTGGCAGCTCAGGGATGAGGTCTGTTTCCAGTTCCCTTGCCCAAGAGCAGCAGGCTCAGAGCAGAGCTCACAGGAGTCACCTGTGCCGGCAGCCCCCAGGTGGCCCATCCTCTCTCGCCAGGCTTTGCCTAACCAACCAAACTCGGTCGAGGGTCAGAAATGGGGATGCACTTAACATTATATCGTTGGCATTTTCCAAAGTCATTACACAGTTTTTGAAAACATGATTGTTAGTGACTATGGTAAGTACAATAAGCCTTTTATAATTATTTTCATAGCTGATATATTTGGTCCTATCATCGTACGTTATATTACGTTTATGTTTCTCTTTCTGTCTCCTTTTTTTTTTCTTTTTGGTCTTACGATATCTACATAGTTTCCTTTGCTTTGCTTTTCCCTTTAGAGAATGAAAAAGCATCTATTCCACATTTACGCTAAAATGATTCCACTGCTCTGCTTTCCTTGTCAAGTTTTTTTTTTTTTTTTATTTCAACATATTATGGGGGTACAGAGGTTTAGGTTACATATGTTGCCCTTGCCCCCCTCCCCCCCAAGTCCGAGTTTCAAGTGTGTCCATCCCTCAGATGGTGCCCATTGTACTCTTTGTGTATGCATATACCCCGTCCCCTCCTCCCTCTCCCCTTCCCTTCTTGTCAGGTTTTTGCACCTGCCCTCCCCACTGCCAAGAATGCCCTCCCCCTTCTCGAGCCTTCAGATCTCTGAAGGGTCCTCTCATTCATTCATTCATTCATTCAAATGCATATTCACTGAGGACCTGCAGCAAGCCAGGCATGATAGCCCCCAGGAGTGAAGCAGTGGATGTGACAAAGGCCCAGACAAATGACAAACTCAGGTTAAGCCTCTGACCTTTGCCCAGGGGCAGCATTTCACTCTCTTCCTTTGGTGCACTCATAAAATTCTGTTTGTGCCTCTATTTTAACACTTACAAGATATTTTGATACTTTCTGGACTCTGGAAGCTCTGTTGGGTGCCTTACCACTCCTACCCCATTGCCTTCAGGATTTGCCCTGGAAACCAGTCATGGCTCAGAAATGGCTGCATCTGTCCATCAAGGGGTGGAGCTGATGACCTTGGAGTTCAGTGGCAGTGTTTTCTAAACTTGAAATTGGGGCACTTGGTTTGACAAATCCAAGACAACAGTTGCAGAATCTTAACGGACTTTTGCAACTCACTTCTGTCGTTCCGGGGCAACAGTTAGTCCAAACAGTGCCTTGTGAGAAGTAGCAAAAGGTACCTAGACACAGCCCCATGGGTGCTCAGCCTGGCAGGGGGAAGGCTGGGTTCCATCTGGCTCAGCCCTTTCCCCCAGAGCAGGCCACTTTCTGCCATTCTCCCCCTCTCCCTACTTCACAAACCAACCCACCTGGCTCTTGCCCATCTCCCACCCAGGCCACAAGGCAGTCACACACACGTGGGTCCCATGTCTCTTTTTGTAGGTCAGTCTGTCTGCTCTCAGCCACTGCACCCTCTGACTCAACAACTTCCTCTTTGCAAATTTCCTCTTTGCCCTGGGGACACATCAACCCTGTACTTCCTTAGGCAGCAGCCTGGGCTGCTCTCAGGGGAGCACAGCTGGGTCTGGCCCCCTCCTCTCTACCCCAGACCCACAGGGGAAGTCCCTGCTCCCGGCTGCCTCCTCTTATTTAACTCACTGTCACTGATTCCCCTGGAGAAGGGAAGGTGCTCAGCCCCCGAATGAAGAGAAGACAGACACGAAGACTAAACACACAACAGGGGGAAAGCAACAGTGAGACCTATGGTTTTGCAGCACCCAGTTCCCGCTACTGGGCAGACTCCTCTCCCCATGCACATGTGTGTGTGCATGTGTGTGTATGTGTGTGATGTGTACACAGCATGTACTGGAGGGAGGGAGACTGAGGAAGGGATACAGTGGCTGAGCTGAAGACCCAGCACTTGGGTCACACGCGTCTTTCTATCAGGACAGGCACTCTTTACTGGGCTACAGACAGAGGTAAATTTTCTGCTGTGTCTACCCCATCTGAGCAAAGATGAGGACACATATGTTCTCAGGAGTCCTGTGTCCCCCACCCTTAGGCTGGCATCTCCACAGTCCCTGCACCCCTTCCTGCCCTCCCTCACACCGTCTGTTCTCACTACTGCCCTTCACAAATATTGCCAAATCCTCACTTCTTACCCACAAACTGCACCTGTGGAGGGACTCTGAGAACTACAGGTGGCCAGAAACTCTTCTCACCTCCACCCTTGGGAGGAGAAATAGCAAAGTCTCTGGCTGCCTCAGGCCACAGGTTGGGGAGAGTGTGGAGGCTTGAGCCATGGGCCAGCCTAGAGTCCAGGTGCTCTGGGAAAGGCCACAGGCGCACCTGAGAGCACAGGTAGGGCCACGCCCAGCTGGTACTCCAGGCTGGCCCCCCAGCCCAGAGCTAAAGGAGGTTCTGGGCTGCCCCCGGGGACAGCCCTTCTAACGCTTCAGAAAGTTAATCGTAGGTGGGAGTTTGCTGGGTTGTCATTTCCTCCTTCTTTCCAGACTCTGATACCCCCGGGGATCCTCCGAGAAATCATAGATCCAGTAAGTTTGGCATTATGGAGTCTCGGCAGCTGGTTCCAAGGATTAGAAAGATGGAGAGAAGGTGATGGGGAGAAGTAGCGGTTGCTGGGGAAGGTTCTTGCATTCAGTCCGCAGATGGCCAGCGGTGCGGGCGTAGCCCGGGCCAGGTGCGATGCAGGGCGAGGCAGATGCGAGGAACATGCAGAGCGCAGAGGCCAAGGAGCCGCCGGGCGGCTGCGGCGAAGCGCTGGGCGCCGGCAGGGACGCGGACAGGGACTCGGCCCTCCGCTCCTGCTGCTCACGAGCACTGCGGCGCAGCCCCGTCTCCTGCTTCCGGCCCATCAGCAGTGGGGTCCTCCCTGGCCCCGTCCTCACTGCCCACCAGCGGCTCTTCCTCCCCTCTTAGGCGGGGGCCTGATTCAGACTTCAGCTCCTCCAGTGCCAAGGAGCCCTGGCGAGACTTCCGTCTGCCGAAGAAAGTGGTGAGCGTGGGCCGCGGGCCGGACTCCTCCCCATTGGGGACCCCGGAGCCCTTGTCCTCCCCGGGCCCTCCCACTGTCACAGTCACGGCTCCCTCCTCAGGGACCTGGGCTGGCCCGGCCCAGGCATCTGCCACCCCATTGCGCTTTCCGCCTCTGCTTAGCTTCAGGGCCCCTGTGCGCCGCTTTTGCCGGTGGCGCCACAGCAAGAGCAGAGCTATGAAGGCTATGAGCACCAGCAGGGCCATGAGCACAGGCACGAGCAGCATGCCCTTCGACTCCCCATGTGGATTTGGGGAGGGCATGATGACAGGAGTAATCACTGTGGATATTTTTACACTGGAGATGGAGGAGTCACTGGCCCCATTGGAGGTCTCCAGAGAACTAGTTGCCGTGGTGACAGGGGGTCCACTGGCCCCATGTGTGGTCTCCAGAGAGCTAGTTGCCGTGGTGACAGGGGGTCCACTGGCCCCACTGGAGGTCTCCAGAGAGCTAGTTGCCGTGGTAACAGGAGGTCCACTGGCCCCACTGGAGGTCTCCAGAGAGCTAGTTGCCGTGGTAACAGGAGGTCCACTGGCCCCACTGGAGGTCTCCAGAGAGCTAGTTGTCATGATTCCACTGTTCACATTGTGGGATATTGCTGTGGGAACCGCAGGGTCACTGGTTGCATTAGAGGTTTCCAAGAGCATTAATGACTTCTTGGGGGAAACTTCCTGGTAGACTGATGGCTCAGATACAGGGAGGTCAGTGCTGGCACCAGTGAAAATCCCAAGAGTGGACACCTCACTGGCAGTTAGAGTTGGAGGTGGGCTTGAGACCTGGTCCCCAGTGCCGTCAACCTTGGGATCCTCTTCTATTGAGCTGATGGAGATCACTGAGTTGAGGTTCAGGGCCTCGGAGTTAGGTGGGACCAAAGAAGCAGAGGACCCTCCGGGGCTGGACGGCTGTAAAGTTGTCAGGTTGCCCACAGCCTCTGGGCTCATCACCAGGACCCAGAAAAGGAGAAGCAGGGCCATTTCCAGAGCAAGACACACGCAGAAGTTGGGACCTGAGGTGAGAGGGGGTTGGAGAAACGGAACACTGGGGAGCTGGGGGAGGACCGGGCCAGGCCCTCCCTCCTGCCCACTTCCCCGCCAACTGCCAGGCCCAACTTGTGGTTTAACGGCTTTTTCCACCCTTGCTTTTACCATTATCAGAAATAACAAGGGAGCAGATGCTGGAAGCTGCCCCATCAGCCCCATCCCGGGGCCCCCCACAAGCCTAGGCAGTTCGGACTCCAGCAACAGTCACTCCCTCCCACCCTGCCCTGATCCTGTGCAGCCCTATGGCTCCTGGTCTTCTTTTCCCATCAGGGTCTTTTCAAGCCATAGGCACATTCCCAGGTCCACCGAGGCCCCTACCCCACCAGGTCATACCCCCTTACCAGCTCAGTTGATTAGGGCACAGGTCTAGAGCCAGGCCACTCCAACTCCTCCTGAGGCTGGGGCAGCACTGGGGCGGACAGGGCCCCAAGGGGAAAGGAAGTGGGGCCCTGGCTCCACCCACCCCACCCTGCATCCTGCCCCACCCACCCTGCTCCTGCAGCTGCTACGTGAGGACAGCACCCTCACCTGCTCCTTCTGGGGTCTGGCATGGTGCTGGGGGGGATCTGGGGCTCCCTGAGGCAGGAGGGGATGTGCGGGGTCTGGCATGGGGATTCCTGGGTCCTAGCTGGGGAATGGGATAGTAAGGGGTGATGCTGGGGCAGGCTGTGGTCAGAGCTAGAGTGATGGGAATATGCACTTGAGAACTCAGGGTGCAGAGGAGGTGACTGGCAGGGAGGGTGATTTCCATTGCATTTGTGGTCCCCCAAGCTCTTAGGCCAGGACCTGGGTGGTACCATTTCCTGTCCCAAGAGCTCCCAGGAAGTAGCAGGGCAGGGGGAAGCCCCGGAGCCTGGCTGGGGCCATGAGAGCCTTTGCAGGCTGGTGAGCTCTTAACTGCATCACAGGAACTGTGGGTCCCCACGATGGTCCTCAGTAGCATGTTTGACTGAACCGAGGTGGTTACCAAGCACTGTGTAGGACATGATATTATTTTTGTAGAAGACTAGTAAAGATGTGGGAATCTAGATGGAAAATAGGAAAGATGTCTGCTGAGGGGTTAACCAAATAGTCTTTGGATAGATGAGAGTAGAGAGTTCTTTATTTTCCTCTGTGAATGATTTCTGTTTCCTGACTTTCCTCTAATTAGTAAGCTTTAACTCTTGGGATATGTATGTTTCTGGTCTTTGCCTTTAAAAAAAAAAATCAGGCCGGGCGCGGTGGCTCACGCCTGTAATCCCAGCGCTCTGGGAGGCCGAGGCAGGAGGATTGTTTGACTCAGAAGTTTGAGACCAGCCTGAGCAAGAGCGAGACCCCATCTCTATTAAAAATAGAAAAATTAGCCGGGCATGGTAACAGGCGCTTATAGTCCCAGCTATTCAGGAGGCTGAGGCAGGAGGATCGCTAGAACCCAGGAGTTCAAGTCCAGCTCAAGCAACACAGCAAGACCTCATCCTAAAATAAATTTAAAAAAAATTTTTAAAAACCAAAACTGATTTTTATATTGTAAAAGCAACACATGTGCATAATAGAAAATTATAACAGTTTCATGGCAGTCTGGGACTGTATCATACTTAGAAGCTGACGAGTTAGTCTGACCCAAAGACATGGGACTCCTGGGTCAGAGACGTAGGAATTCATTACTCACAGCACAGCAAACTACATGCGCATGTTCGCATCAGTTCTCCTTACCTCCAATTTCCACAGGAGCAACATAGAAGGGCCCAGGCTGATGCCAGGCACACAGTGGGCTTGCACTGCAGCCAAGAAACACTGAGCTTGAGGGGAGCTGGTAGTGGGCAGGCTTGCTCAGTGTTCTGAATGGAGACACTACTTCATCCGTCAGGGTCGTTGCTCACGGCAAACACAACACTGAGAAATGGCTTAAGTAAAGAGTATTCAGTCACGTCCTGGCATTCTTGGCACACCCAGCGAGAATGTGAAGGGATGCTCAGGGGTGCCCACAGTGGGGTGCTTCTCCAACAGTCAGCAGAGATCGAATGAAAAGGCTCTGTACCCACCATCACCAGATAAATACTCCCAACAGCGCCTGTTTACACAAGCACATATCATGGGTTTCATTATATACTCTCTTCTGCATTTCAGTTACTGAGCAATATTTTTGGGTCATGTTTCCATATGTATAAAATAGCCGCATTGAATGTTTAGATTGTTTCCAATATTTCATTATCACTAACACTGCTGCAGTAAATATCCTTGTTCATTTTTCTATAATTGTCACATATTTTTTCTGTTTCAATAAGAAAGGGTGGAGGGAGGGAAAAAGGGAGGAGGTAAAGAAAAGAAAAGAAACCATTCCACTGTCAGACATCTAAGTTGTTTCAACCTTCTGCTATTGAAAATAAAAAGCAAGAATAATTGGCTGCAAAGTGAGTGGAGGTTAAATTGTTTTTTAATTCTAGAAAGTAGACAAAAATGTTATAAGACTGCATAAGATTCCCAACATTTAAAAAAATCCCCAGGCCGGGTGTGGTGGCTCAGGCCTGTAATCCTAGCACTCTGGGAGGCCGAGGCAGGTGGATCGCTCAAGGTCAGAAGTTCGAGACCAGCCTGAGCAAGAGCGAGACCCCGTCTCT